ACAGGACAAAGGCTCACAGCCCCTCATGAGCCAGCAAAGCCTGCAATGCACCCAGCACAAACGGTAATTTAAGTCACAGCACAGCCAGACACAAAGTTTGAGCTGCCCATGTGCTGAAATAGTTGGTGGGAATATTAAAACCAATAAAAATCCGCTTGTGTCTTATTCCCAGCCTGGTGCTGCCAAGGACTGTGACTCCCTGGCACAACCATTGCAGGCAGCCCATCCTGCTTTTGTGAGGGAAACCAGTGTGTTTGCAGCTCTGTCATCACTCACAGGGGTGGAAACCACAGGAGATTGCATCCTCCTTCATGAGCACCTCTGCTGCAAGGGAAGAGCTTGCAGGAGCTGCCCTGGAGGAAGGGTGGGGATGAGGGCAGCTGTGAGTGCCAGCCTGCGTGCACAGACCTGTCACTCTTTCCTGCATGGGCTGGTTGCACAAGCAGGGATGCCTCACTACAGCAAAGGACAGCAATCCACTGGGTTCCTTACAGTAGCTTGCTGTGAGGTAATTGAGGGAGGTTAATCCCAGATTATTAAGGAATTTCGTCAAGAAGCCCCAGTGCTTTGTGAAGTAAAAATCAAATGTCCACCCACGCAGTAATCGGGTCAAAGTTAAACTTGTCAAACAATGTTGGTGTGTTTTGCATTTGCATTGCTGGGATTAATTTCCCACATTTCCCCCCTCTCTGAGTTTCTGAGTTCAGAAGATTTTTTAAACTTTATCGGTCATTTCTGATGTACCATGGCACACCAGCCATGCTACGTGAGCTTTCAAATGCACCATGGCACCAAAGCACCTTCAAATCTTGCCAGTTTTAGAATCTGAAGGTTGGGGACAGCTAGGGGGGGGAAACAAGAACAGGAAGTCTCTGAAGCTGTAGGAATTTTGTTATTGTTTTTTTTAAACTTTATCGGTCATTTCTGATGTACCATGGCACACCAGCCATGCTACGTGAGCTTTCAAATGCACCATGGCACCAAAGCACACTATTTCCTTTCCTTTCCTTTCCTTTCCTTTCCTTCCCTTCCCTTCCCTTCCCTTCCCTTCCCTTCCCTTCCCTTCCCTTCCCTTCCCTTCCCTTCCCTTCCCTTCCCTTCCCTTCCCTTCCCTTCCCTTCCCTTCCCTTCCCTTCCCTTCCCTTCCCTTCCCTTCCCTTCCCTTCCCTTCCCTTCCCTTCCCTTCCCTTCCCTTCCCTTCCCTTCCCTTCCCTTCCCTTCCCTTCCCTTCCCTTCCCTTCCCTTCCCTTTTTTCAATCTGTAAACACAATGATGCTTGTGCTCCAATCTGTGCCAAGATAAATACTTTACTTCTTCAAATCTTGCCAGTTTTAGAGTCTGAAGGTTGGGGACAGCTAGGGGGGGAAACAAGAACAGGAAGTCTCTGAAGCTGTAGGAATTTTGTTATTGTTATTTACCTTTGTAAGATGAAAGGGATTTTCTGTAACCTGAAACCGTTGGATTTTCTTCTTAGTTCACAAAGTTATTTTATTTTGTTATTGATATTGCATAGGATACCATCAGTCTTTGTGTGAAAGGCCTAACTTCTCAGGATGCTGGGACCACTTTGGTAAGGCTGCTTTCTGCCCTTCTCTTACAGCAAAAGAAAAAAAAAGAAGTTGTCATATAATTCCACTGAGAAACAGATGAGTATTACCAGCTGAATTCAGTTCATTCTCCACATACCCTGTATTCCATGTGCTGGTATGGGAGCCATTAAATGCTGACAGGACAAGAGCAAATGACCTCAAGAGGTGCCAGGGGGGTGTAGATTCAATATCAGAAAAAAAATTCTTCACCAGAAGTGTTTTCCAGCCCTGGAACAGGCTGACCAGGGTATGAGTTTCCATCCCTGGAGGTATTTCAAAGACATCTAGACATGGTTCAGTGGTGGACTAAACCAAGCAGTGCTGGGTTAACAGTTGCACTAATTAATCTTAAAGGCCTTTTCCAACCTAATTCTATGATTTTATGAAAAAAAAATATCCTTGAAAATGTTTTTTCTGCTTTGCAGTGGAATAATTTCTCTGACAAAGATGTTTTTATGGCATTTGCACCACCATATTTTGATGATGTACATCTCTGGAAACATATCTTGGGTACTTCCCATTCAACCTGGACATTCTGGTATTAAAAGCATGCAGATGTGATTTTAATTCCGATTAACACGGGTTGGAATGGTTGTTCACCTTGAAAACAATGAAAGGTACTCCAGTCCTGTAGGAGGGAACGTGGTTACGAATCCTCACAGGTAAGAGAGTAGGTGTTGTGTTTTGGTTTAGTTTTGGTTTAGCTCTGACCTTTCTGAGAGTTCTCTGAGATGTCACTTGAGAAAAAAAGGAAGGTTGGGGTTTTTTTGTATGTTCTTGTCAATCAATAAATGTTCAAAGTAATGATGTTCGACTGCACTGGAAGTGCATTTCTGCAGAGGTGGAAAAAGTTGGTGATGTCAGTGGATCTACAGGAGAATGCTAGCAATATATTTGAAAATACTTCCCTTTGAGTGCAAAGGATTTCTACCACAAGTGCTGATTACTGAAATTAATTTCCCCTACACAGCACATATGCTGCAAAAATTTCACATGTCTTTTCTGCTTTTTCCCTAATAGTTTTCTGTGAAAGCAATGGAACAATGTAGTTGTGTGATGCTTTCACATCTTCCTCTTTTCTGCAGTAAATGTTTTTAGCAGAATTTAGCCATCCTTTCTTATTAAATCTTAGCTTCTCTTCTGCTGTACTTCTACCTATTTAAAGCTGTTTCTGGAGCACATAGAAGTGAAATGCTGAAGGCCTCATCAGGTGCACAAGAAACCTTATTTCCATGGGGATTTTGCTGTGAATTGGTGGGCTTATATTATTCTCTGCAGTGCTCAAAAAAGCACTGTCTCCTCTACTGTGACTTCAGTATGTTTGAGTCCTTCAACTTTGTTAGCATCCTAAAGCTGCATAACACCTCTTCCCTTGAACTGATGTGTTTCATGAATCAAGCTTATGATATGTGCTTAGGGAAGCTTTAAGTGATGGAAAAATTACAACTTCTGCCTCTGATCAAAGCAGAACAAAGCACTTGGCTGCTCCTCTCTCTCTGTTACTTCAGTCTCCTTGCAATCAGGGAGATCTTCAGAGGAGAAGGTACCAAGAATTGTAATACCTAGGAAAAGAGAAGGAGCCCTGAGTGACAATAACATCCTTGAGTTCAGCTTATCTAAAAATTAGGCAGCCTTAGCTGGTCCAGGTTGCTCTGTGTGTAATAAGGGGTTGTGGAACTTCCCTACTACAGTCTGGCAGCTGATGAGCTCAGTTACTTTCCCTGGGACTGCTCATCCAAAAGCAGGGTTAAGTCCTGAGGAAGAAATGCAGATGCAAACATAGCGGGCTGGACTTTCCTTCTAGTTGTGATATGCTAATGGCTGAAATCTGTATTTTAAAAAAGGCTTGAATTTAAAAGGAAAGTGAGGTGATGAACTGCAGAGCTGTAGCAGGGTTGCCAGTAACTCTGTAATGATAAGGATTCATGATTAGGCTAGCAGGAGAAAGTTTATTCCATCTGACTCACAGAGAGGCTGTCCCTGCCTGGCAGCTGGAGCTGTGACTTAGGGAAGCTGTGTGTGGCTGGCTCTATTAATGATCCTTTCTCCTTCTCTGAGCACCATGGAAACACTTCTACGTAAACACATGGTGCTACTGTAGTCTGCATTTGCAAACCACGCTGGTGGAAAATGCATGGAGGGAGTACAAATGTACAGGAATTAGATCACAGCCCAAAACACAGGCACTGAAAACCCTGCCATGGAGAAAGTGCCAGTCTGACTCAGTAACAGACTCCTCTCAGCCATTTCATAGACAATGATTTTCTCTCTACAGAAACGTTATAACCTGTATTTGATTTCTCTACAGAGTACCATCGTTTTAATTATGTCAAAATAAAAGTCTGATTTGTAATCCAACCCAGTCCATCTAATCTATCTAATTCAAGGAACCTGTACTGAAGAAAAACTGGAGCAATGTAGCAGCAAATCGTTCCTGATAAAAAGGATGCATTTCATTTAAATCAAAATAATTTAAACCAGCAAACCAGAAGTCTGCATTTAAATAAATTATTTTACTCTTGATTTGTATTTGCACTTTATTTTTCTCTTTGAAGAATACCCAGTTTTCATTGGTGTGCAACCCTCTTGCTGTGATTATTACAGCTAAATAAAAACCCCTTACACTGTAACTGCTTGCACTATACCAGGGCTTATTTATTTTGCAGGAGGGTGTGCAGTATCTGTACAAATCTACATCACTTAGCATGCATTTACTCCCTCAGGCTCTTATTTATTAAGTGGTTTGTTTTTCTGCTCAGAATCTGCTCTGGGCTGGTTTGGGATGGTGATGACTCTGCCCTTCCAGGCTTTAAAGCAGGGATTGTCTACAGGAATTGACCATGCCTCTCCCCCTGGAGCCTTGGGTGAGCAGTGGGTGCCTTCTGGAGAAGGCAGGACACAATGCTGGGGAAGCAAGTGCTCCCTCCCCTTCCACAGGGCTGGTGATTCTCTCTGGTGACACCAAACCATCCACATTTGGCTCTGCTTTCACATCCTTCTCCCTGTCCAGGTGCTCGGCCATGACATCCATCATGTGCAGCCTAAGCAATCCTTCTTACATTTTCTTTGGAAAATCCACTCCTTGATGGATTACATCCTGCTGGGCCCGAAAAGGTGGTGCAGGCACTGTGTTTAATTTCAAACATAATCGTATACAACTATTCCCAAAGCAGCACCAGGGTTTCACTTAGCTGCATTTTAACCTCCAAAGCCTCCAGCACTGCCTGACACTTACATTCCCAGGTGGGGTCCTTCTGCCTGAGCCCCTCCTGGCTGGAGGAGCATCCCCAGGGATGAAGGCAGCCCGGTGCCCGTGGGTGGCGGGCGCCGCATCCTGGCACACGCCCCGCGAGGAGGCCGTGGGCGGTGTGAGGTGACTTATGAAGCTGAGCAGCCTCCCAGCGCCACAACTTCCCCCTGCACCCTGTCCGGGAGTGTTTCAGCAGCCTGTGACGGCAGCCAGGCCCCCATGGCCTGGCACTGAGCCCTCTGCATCCTCCTCCCTGCCCCAGGGCTGGCCCCAGTGCTGCTCCACCAGGGAAACGCCAGGTACCAGGGGAGGGAAGCGGGGCAGGCTGGGCTGGTGCTCGGGGATTTGGTGGTGGCAGCAGGCAGGAAGGAGAGAGACACGGTGGAGGGTGCTGTGACTCCTCAGGTTCCGTTCCCCTAACCTTATTCCCCTCTCCTCCCAGCCCAGGAGCTGCAGGAAGATGATGGACCTGCCTGCCTCCCCACCGGCGTTGAGGATGTGGCTGGGGCTCGGGCTCTTCATGCTGCTCTGCCTTGGGATAGGTGAGCAGGAGCCAGGATGGGAGTGTGGGAAGGGGCTGGGAACCAGCAGCAGCATCCATGGGTGGTCAGCAGGGGATGGTGGCCCTCAGGACACTTCTGGTGCCTCCTGCCAGGGCTGAGCCCAGGGTTTGGGGCAGCTGGCACTTCACTGAGGAGCCCTCAGCTCTCAGCTTCCCAGGCCCACTGCACCAGGCTGCTGGCTCCCAGATGGGCATGGTGGTCTCCCATCCCAGCGAGGATGAGAGAAATGAGGGTGCTTTTGGTCAGCTGATGTCTGTGGGGAGCACATGGCACAGCACCTTGTGCTTCGGTTTCAGTGGTGGCGTGGTTTCCGCAGCGTTTTGGGTGGTTCAGAGCGGGTGCGTGGTGGAAAAGATCGGGAAAGGTGGAAGCTTGGAGTGCTCTGCACCTCCTGGGCAGCTCAGCACAGAGCAGAGTGAGTTCTTTCTCCAACAACACAATTGAAGTCTTGCCTGGGCTGTCCCCTGTCCTTTTCTGAGCACTTGCCATAAAGCTCACACAGATCGCTCCTCGCCTCAAAAGGCTTGGGATGAGTCTTCTCAGATGTGTGAAATGTTAACCTGGAGACCACACAAAATTCACTTCTGAGCTGGAGTTCATTGTGGATGCAAAATAAGCTGTGCTTATTGGCATTTTAGTGTCTCATTGCTACTCGAGAGCAATCCTGGGCTGAACTGGGGCTTTCGTTAAAAATCAAGCAATGCAAAATTAGGAGCTTTTCATGCTCCTATTGTGAAACTGGGAGGTATTTGATGCTGGGCTTCGTTTTGAATTTCAGTCTCAGAATTTTAAGATAAAACTTGGAGAATTTAGCAGGGAGTGAATTGCAGAGCTCACTTGTAAAGAAAGAAATTACCTCAAATGTCTCGCTGGGATCCCTGCTCTTCTGTCTTCCCCTCACTCCTTCCCCTGCCTCTGTGCTTGCAAAGCATCTGTCAAGCACAAATATATTTTGCTTGTATTTGCATCAGGCAGACACTCTATCATGAGCAGAACTGTTTCTGTCTCAGTACTTTAAGAGCTTGTGGTGTGTTAATAATGTAATTACGATAATATGGTAATTTGCCAGTCATGTAATTTCTCTGGAAACAATGCTGGTTCCTTGACTTCTGGTTGTATAGTTGGATGTATAGTCTGATGCATGCTGATATCCACTACTAGAAGTAGGAGTTTGACAAGAAAACTAAGCATTCCTCCAGTTGTACTTTTGGGGCACAATTTTTAGATGCTTCTCAAGCAACAAGTCAGTGGAAGTGCTGGTGCCTCAGGAGTAGGTGCTTGGCAGACTGATAACAGCAGGACAGCTGATACACTTATTTTGCTCTCTGTATGCACTCACACACACTCTGAACCCTTTCTCTCTGAAGATCAGCATTCCTACATCAGTGCTCCTGGAAAATACGTGGTGCAGTACCCACTAAGGGCTGGGTTTTAAAAGCTTTGCTGGTGCTTGTGGGTGATGCCTTCTCAAGGTTGCCCACAGGGACCACAAGGATGGAGTTTTGGCCTTGTTGTGGCAAAATAATGGAGCCCTGGTTGTCTGCCATCAGCCTGGCAGTGACTTTCCACACAATACTGAGTGAGCCACCACATTTACAGGACATTTTACAGGACATTACACATTTTACAGGACTATCCCCACATGGGACTGCTCATGAGCACATCAAGGCACAGTCAGGGCTGGCTCCCAGAGCTTGTGTCCTTGGCTTGGCCCAGGTGTCCTGATGCTGGCACACCTCCCTGGTGTAGCCCTGCAAAAGGTCAGGTAGCATTCTGGGATGGAAACAGGTGCCCTCTGTAAAGCCAGTGTGAGAGAAATAGTAACAGAGGGATGCTAGGCTGAATTTTCACATGGTAGCAGTGGAAGGCATTAATGGGGGGCTTAATTAAAAGGGATTTGAAGGTTGAAGGTTGATTTGAAGTTGTCTTTCATAGGAATCTCATGTATGTGCAAGCTACGTAGATCCATTTATTTTCCTTTGATTTGAATTTTGCTACTCTGATGTTCACCTGAGGGGCTCCACTGAAATGCCAGTGTAATTTAGAGCTGCTTCTGGAATGTCATCTGCTGCTGGAGACACTGATGTCCATGAACAACACTCCTTGTCTCAGCAGAAAGTGGCAGAACAGCTTTGGTTAACAGCACAAACTTTTTTATTTATGATCTGAATGCACTGCTGGTATCCCCACGGGCTTGGTTTTGTCCTGCCATTGCACCTTCACACCTACCTACAAATTGTAGGATATTCTTAGTCCCTGTTTGTTATCCTAGAAAAATATAGCTTGAAGTACCTCAGTACGACCTTTCCCTGCCCTGTGTGCAAACAAAGCATAGGCACTGACTTCAGGGACCCAGCAAGCCCAGCTTTGTGTCCATGGAGTATTTTTAAACTTCCCTGGAGTCTTTTCTCCCAGCTGGGGACCACTTAGTTCTTGGTTTCTTCCCAGGGGTGAAATTTTTTGAGAAGTTTTGAAGAAAATTCCCTACAGCTTTTCTAAGTTACTGGAGAGTTGGGAAGGGAGGGGGAATATCCACTTCAGTCAGCGAGCAGTGGCTCACAAGCAAGTCATTCCGGGAATCCCCTTCCCTTGTGTTACTCCCAGCAAAGAGCTCGGAGTGGAGCTGGGTTTCAGAAAGGGACAGTGTGACCACCCCTAAATATTGAGATGCCTGGCAATGAGCTTTAGGTGCTTGGAGTCTGATTTCCATGCCAGCTCTGGTATGGGTCGTGCTGGGGCAAATTTCATGGTGGAGATGGCAGAAATTTCTCTTTACGTACTGGATTTGCCCACTTGAACACTGGATGCAAATTGAGTTTCTGACTTATTCCTCTTCATGCCTTCAGCTGTTGTTTTAATTTCTTTTTTCGGATGAGTTTCTGTCTCCTGTTCCAGACATGTGGGAAAAAAATTGTTTCAAAACCAAGGGCAGCGGATCTAAGGAACTCCTTTTTCTGTTTGTCAGTCTGTCCAGAGTGAAACCTGCTGCAAGAGCTTGTCTGGAGAAACAGAAACCCAGCTAAACCCTACTGCTTTTTGCTTTTTGAGACTGTTTTACTTCTTCTGTTGAGTGCTTCTTAAGTTAAAGAATTCTTTAGGAAGAAAACCACAGAAAATTTAACTTAGACAAACTACATTGGTACACACAAAATAAAGTTAAAAGCATAAATGCCAAGTTTGTAAGGCTATGGGTCAAATGTTCCTTTCACCCACATCATTTCCTTTTTCCAGTAAGATCGGAATGAACCCAGATAGCAGCAGTGACCTCATATTGCTCTGATTGCAACAGCTTTTTTTGCATTTCTTGGATCACTGAGACATTTGTATCCTGGTTGCCGTGTGCATGTTGGACATTCCTGCACTTAAACATGCAAAGTTTGCAGTGGACACTTTTATTAATTGTGGTGGATTACCAGCAGAAGATGCCACCCTCAGGCCCTCTCACCTTTCCTGCTCATCAGTGCCCTGATTCTGAGTTCCAGCTGTGGTTTAATGGGGGTAATTAATGTGATATAAATGACTGATGCCATCCCTCTGCCTCCCTTGTGGTGAGTTAATTTTTTTCAGAGCCAGTTTGCTTTTACACCTGTGCACCCTGGAGGGGACGGATACAGACAGGAGTCACAGTTGAAGGGTACAAACAGATCATTGCCACAAGAGATGCAATCCTGCTCCTCTCTGGCTGTGTGAGCCTCCTCTTCTTTGCACATGTCTGATCCCTGGATTATCTACTTCACTAGATAATCTAAACTAGCAGAAAGTTTCCTTTTTTCTTTTTTTTTTTTAATTAAGACTGGTATATTCTTCCAGTTTAGCAGAAAGTTTCTTTTTTTCTTTTTTTTTAAACTGGTATATTGAACCAGACTCTGGAGAGCCCTGCAAGGGGGAACACGTGGGATTGGAAGGGAAAGGGGAGCCAGATCCCCTCTGCTTGCATGGGGAAGGCATGAGATCACGATGAGTTTGCTGTCTGGCTGCATCCCAAGGTCATGCCAGGCTGGGGGAGAATTTCCATATTCAGAGAAATTCTCACATAATTATTATAGAGTTTGTGTTGGAAAGTATCTTAAAGCTAATTTGTTTTAACCTCCCTGCCACGGACACTTGCACTAGACCAGGTGGCTCCGAGTCCCACCCAAAGTGGCTTTGAACACCTTCAGGGCTGGGGCATCCACAACTTCCCTGGGCAACCTGAGCAGCACCTCACCCCCCTCACAACAAATCCTTTCTTCCTAATATCTGATCCAAACCTTCCCTCCTTCAGCTTGAGGCCATTCCCCCTTGTCCTATTGCTACATGTCCTTGTGAAAAGTCCATCTCCAGCCTTCTTTAAGGCTCCTTGTAAGCATGGGAATGCTGCTCTGGTCTCCCTGGAACCTTCTCTTCTCCAGGCTGAAGGCTTCTCCTTCCTTTTAAGCATGTGTTTCCCAGTATAAATGCTGTGCACTTCTGGATGTGGTGTCTTCCACAGGGTGGAAAGATAGATGTGCTGGATGCAGTAAAGTCTGTTCACTTGGCAGAAGGAGGACAGTTTTGTTTTAAAATAGATTATGTTAAATTGTAGCTGTTCTGTCCCCTTTGGAGGGGCATCACCATTGGGAGTCTCAGGAGTTCATTTGAGAATATGTAAATCTTTCCCAACTCGGAAATGCCACAGGCTTTGCTTCTGCTTTTTCACTGTTATGCTTTTAAAATATCATTGGCCCCAGGGGACTGCCTGGCTGAAAAGAAAGTGCTGACTGATGGCTCATGGTGGCATTTCTACCTGCCCTGAGCTAAAAGGACATGCACCTTTTGGCCAGCTCCAGTTCCTCTCTATCACATAAAAAATTGTTAGAAAAGACGATTGAAGGAAATCTCTCTGCACACCACTGCTCTCACCTTAGCAGGCACCCTCTGGTGAGGTTCTAAGTGCCCTGCAGACAGGGATTGGATCCCTGTGGAAGTGCTTCAGGGGGAGCAGAGCTTGCTGTCAGACA